GGTACGCAGGCTGAAGAGCTACGCACCAAGGCAGCAGGCAGGCTGATTTAGACTCCTTCCCTCTCCTCCCCTTTCCTTTTCCAGACGCTAAAGAGAAACATGAAAACTCAAATGTGCCAGAAACCGGTCTCAACCCCCAAGTTAAGGAATGCCCAAGGTGAGGAGTCACCATGGCAACAGCAGTGCCAGGTGTGTTGGTGAATACTGAGTTTCTGCAGCAGGGGCAGGAGGGCCTGCCCAGAGCCTGTCTGAGGGTTTATTTTCTGGCTACAGGGGAGCTGCATTTCATTTGTTCCTCTTAATGGGACATTATGGGAGACTTTTGCTTTTCATTGCCTCTATTTTCTTATAAGTGGAAGGGGAGGAAAAAGTCATTTTCCTCCTCTTCCCACCCACTCAGAGAAATGCCAGAAAAACACCAGCATTCCCATCAGAGGCTCTGCTGCCGCTGGTCATGAAACCCCATCATCACTTAAATTGCTCTATTTTAAAGGTTTGTGAAAACTGCACCAAATTGATTTTTCCCATATCACTTCTATCTGTTATTTCTGTGGTCTCTCTTCTTCAGTGCTGCATTTCCCGGAGCAGGGGAGCAAGTCTATATGGAAACTTGAGGTACTCTTATGTGGTTTGGGAACCAAAAAATAAAAGTGTTTTAGAGGCTATCAAATTGTTGTCTTTCTGTTACTTACTCACATACTGACGTATTTATTTTTACCCTGGGTCTGTTGAAAAGGATTTGGCTCACAGATTCTAAACTTAATTTAGCTTCAGGCCTTAATCACTGTTGAGCAGAGAATTTTATAATCACAGGGATAGAAAGAGTCTTAGAAGTCATCTGGCTCAGAGGTCCCCAGACTTTTGGATGTCATCAACAGTTAAAAGTTTAAAAATGGGGAGGGAGACCCAGATATGGTTGCTAGCTTTCAGTATGGCCAAATAAGAACATTAAAGAAACACAACCATCATATACTGCAACCACTACTTGATAAAAGAAAGGACATTTTTAATACCCAAAAAAGGAGGAGGGGTATATATTATTAGAATAAAAGACTCTCCCTTAAACTGAATAAATTTAGCACATAAGAATTTACCTTTATCCATATTTTTCTCCTTTCTCTAGGCACTAGCACCACGGTGAGAGTGGACATTTGAGAACTGCTGTTCTAGTTTATTGTTCCTACCAGTATTTGTTGGTGATGGGGTCTTAGACTCTGCTTGGATACCTCTGGTGGTTGGGATGCTCACTACCTTCCCTGTTTGGATAGTTCAAGCTGTTACTTCTTTCTCATAGCCCTTCCTTTCAGGTTGGATGTCTCTCCTGTGTGCTCCCTAATCTCCCTTGCAGTTACCACTTCATTAGTACTCATCTCATGATGCTGTAATTGTCAGTCGACATATCCATTGACTAGACTGTCAACTTCCTGAGGGCAGGGTCTAAGTCTGTTCACCATTGAATCCTCAGGTTCATCATATGGCAGAAGCTCATCAATAACTGTTGACTGAAGGAATGAACTTCTAGCCACTGAACTAATGCTATGAAATAATGATAACAACGGCCAAGAAAATAACTAACATTTGTTTCAAGTGTACTGCATGCTAAGCATTTTATGTAATTCTGATCAGAAACAGGATTTTATGTTAAGACATTTGGAATAAAATGAAAATTATAATTGATGAAGCATGTTGTTTTAAAAGGAGGTTTCTCTGGGAATTTATCCTATAGAATTCCCCTAAAGTACGCCAAGATGTATGTGTAAAAATGCCCATTGCAGTATTGCATGTAATAGCAAAAAATGGAAAAGAACCTAAATATTTATCAATAGGGAACCTGTTAAATATAGTTCAGCCATACTATGTAGGCAACCTTTAAAAAGAACAAAGTAGATCTAAATGTACCAACATGGAAAATTGTCCAAGACATATAACATGTAGAGTCAAGACATATTGTTAAGGGAAATAATCTTATTTCTGATAAACATGAAAACACACATATGACTATGCAGAGAAAATATGCATGTATAGAAAAAATATGAAGGGACAATATAATCCAAATTGTTAATATTGGTTCTTTTTCTGAGTAGGAGTGGGACCTTTACTTTATTAAACATCCACCTCTGTAACTAAAAAGAATGGGGCCTGGGATGGTGGCTCACGCCTATAATTCTAGCACTCTGGGAAGCTGAGGTGGGAGGATCGCTTGAAAAAGAAAAGAATGTATAAGGTTTGAGCTCAGGAGTTCAAGACCAGCCTGAGTAAGAGTGAGACCCTGTCTACTAAAAATAGAAAAAATTAGCCAGGCCTAATCTTTTTTTTTTTTTTGAGACAGAGTCTCACTCTGTTGCCCAGGCTAGAGTGCCATGGCGTCAGCCTAGCTCACAGCAACCTCAAACACCTGGGCTCAAGCAATCCTTCTGCCTCAGTCTCCCGAGTACCTGGGACTACAGGCATGTGTCATCATGCCGGGCTAAGTTTTTCTATATGTATTTTTAGTTGGCCAATTAATTTATTTCTATTTTAGTAGAGATGCGGTCTCGCTCTTGCTCAGGCTGATTTCAAACTCCTGACCTTGAACGATTCTCCCGCCTCGGTCTCTCAGAGTGCTAGGATTACAGGCATGAGCCACCACACCCAGCCTAGGCCTAATTTTTTGATGCATGCCTGGAGTCTCAGCCACTCGGGAGGCTGAGGCAGAAGGATCTCTTGAGCCTGAGAGTTTGAGGTTGCAGCGAGCTGTGATGATGCCACTGTACTCGCCAGGGCGACAGAGTGAGGAAAGAGAAGAGAAGAGAGGGGAGAGGAGGGGAGGAGAGGAGAGGAGAAGAAGAGAAGAGAAAAGAAACAGAGAGAAAGAAAAGTATGTCTAAGAAGCATGTCTTGGCTGGGCATGGTGACTCATGCCTGTGATCTCAGCAATTTGGGAAGCCCAGGTGGAAGGGGTTGCACCACATGGCTTCTGAGGTTCTTTTGTCCCTTTGCCTCCCCTTTTGTTCCCTTCCCCATAATGATTCCACCCCAGCCCCTTCTCAGGCCCACAAAAATAAAAAAATCAGGTGTAGTAGTGTGTGCCTGTAGTCCCAGCTACTTGGGAAACTGTAGCAGGAGGATGGCTTGAGCCCAGGAGTTTGAGCCTGCAGTAAGTGCCACTGCACTCCAGCCTGGGTGACAGAGACCCTGTCTCTAAAAAATAAAAAGAAGCATGTCTTATTTTTTAACAGCTTATAGTATAATTTACATACCATAAGCTGCACGTATCATTTTTGGGGAGGGGCAGAAGATTTTAAAAAACACAAATAGAAGGAAAGGTTTCTGAAATCCTGAAATTGAGCCTAATCTAATCTTTTGTCCCTTTGCCTCCCCTTTTGTTCCCTTCCCCATAATGATTCTACCCCAGCCCCTTCTCAGGCCCACAACATCTCTGAATGGCTAGGGAAACTCTTTTTCTTTACCTGGGCCTATAAAAGAAGGGGTTGCACCACATGGCTTCTGAGGTTCTTTCAGATATTGATTGGGGGTGAGTTGACAGTCCTAATCTTGGCCCTACCAAAACTTGCTTTTAGGGAGGAAATAGATGGTAGTTTTATTCTCATTACATGAAAATATTAATAGCTGATGAGGCCCAGTTAATTTTTCTTCTCTTGTGATGTTTGCATTTTAACAAAAGATGAACTATCATTTTTGGCTTCAAACCAAGAAAGAAACCTCCAGCTGTGCAGTCCCCACACATATAAAGGTAGGCGATATGTTTGAGGGGGCAGGGCAACCCTTTTAGCATCCTTGAAAACACAGCAGTAGACAAGTTAGGATCACTGATGTGGAGATGGGTACTCGAGATGACCACAGATCAAGTGTGACCCACTGTTGGTAGGAAAGTAAAAATTCTGGCCATAGCACTTGACCGGATTAAGAAAGCTGTGCACCACTGGGGAAAGAGTCCTCTCAATTTCACAAGGTGACCTTGATTGCCCCATGTAACCTGGGGCTTTAATGTCTCAGCGTGTAGAAACATTATCGGTAGTCAGGGAGTATATATTAAACATTTATGCAGGCACAGGTAATCTACGTCACTCTGAAAGAAGTTGCTATAATGAAAAGAGTTCACAAAGTTAAACCAACATCCAGAATGCAGGTGGATTGTAACCACATTCTCATTAGGAGAGTCAGACACAGAGGTTGAGGGTGTGGGGCTCTGGAAAAATACTTGCTGGGTCCAAATCCTCCTGGCTCTATCATATATTATACTGCCAGCTGGGTGACCTTGGTCAAGTGGCTTTGCTATTATTCATCTGTATTCCCATCAAATAGGGATAATAGGGTAATGATAGTAAGGTAAAATAGATCCCACTTCCTAGGATTATGAAAATTAAATTACTTAATACACATCAAGTGCTTAGATTACAGGCGTCCTCAAACTATGGCCTGCGGGCCACATGCAGCCCGTTGAGGACATTTATCTGGCCCCCCGGGTGCCACCGCAGCCTGTCCTGCTTAGCATCTGATTTGCCCCGGGCCCACAGTGCGCATGTATGGAATGTGCCCTGCACTCTCCAACAGCCCTCAACGGTCTGAGGGACAGTGAACTGGCCCCGTTTAAAAAGTTTGAGGACCCCTGGCTTAGAACAACTGTGCGTGGCACATAGTGTGTCCTCAGTAGATGTTAGCTGTGAACATTACCTCCTAAGCCCTTTGTTGTGTAGGGAGATTTGCTGCTTCACTTCCAACAGCTCTAGCTTCAGTTATTAATAAATTCTTTGATATTTTCCAACTGCCAAGCAGGGAAACCCAGTTACAAGGTATCAGGGAATGCTGTGAACTGAGCCCAGAAGGCAGCGCCACGCCAGAGGTTAAAGTACAGTCGGCCCTTGGTTATCAGTGATTTCAACCAAGTAAGGACTGAAACTATCTGGGAGGAAAAATTGCATCTGCACTTAACAATTTTTTCCCCTAAACAATACAGTATAACAACTATTTACATAGTGCTCCCATTGGATTACGTAGTGTAAGTTTGTATAGAGAGATGATTTATAGTATACAGAAGGATATGCATAGGTTATATGCACATACTACACCATTTTATAACAGGGACTTGAGCATCCGCAGATTTCAGTCTCCTGGGGTGTGTGGGGGTGTCCTGGAACCAACCAATCCCTCACGGATACTGAGGCACGATGGACCGTAGTGGCCTGGAGTCCGCAGCTGATTCTCAGGACCGCCATGGGCAGATCCCTCCTCTCCAGGCCGAAGCTGCCCCATCTGTAAGATAAAACAAGGAGGTTGAGCCACATTTCTCAACCTTTCCCTCTCCCTTGTCACCAGTTCCAGTTACACCTGACTGCAGTGGAGATGGGCATCCTGATTGTGGACTGGCCGGGGGAAAGGACCCGTAGGACCCCGCCTTCCAGTCCACACCGGCCCAAGCCAGCCCTGACTGCGCCAAAGTTTCCCGGCGACTCCCGGCCCGGCCCGGCCCGGCCCGCAGACCCTGGGCCGGAGCCAGCCTTGACTTCCCTGATTGATTCACTCTCTGCTGCCCCCAACCCCAACGCGGCACGCAGGGGTGGCCCCGGAGAGCAAACTGCAGCAGGGCTGTGTGCGACCGTCCAGGGTTTCCTGCAGAAGCCGACTGGCAAGGGACCGGGGGTCCCCACAGCCTGCAGGAACGCGCGCCCTGACCCCTCCGCCCCCGCCCCTGTGAAAGAGGGCTGTAAAATTCCGGAAGAGAGATTAGAGGCAGGGGATGGGTGGGGCGGTGAATCAGTACATTCCTTCCTCCCCCTGCCTCCTCCTCCGGGGTTATCACTCTGGGAGGGTTGGGTCCTTCTCATGGCCTTCTCCTGACCAGTCCACTGGCAGGGGCCAGACATGGGGGGAACCTCCCATGTTCATCTGAACCTTGTAGAGCCTGAATCGCTTATTTCGCAGCTCATGACCTAGTGTGGTTGAGGGCTGGGGAATTTTGGTTGTTACTTCCAACTGGGTCTTTTCCATAAGAGTACTTCTTAGGCCCGGTCTGTGCACTCATTAGTAGCTCCTGTTTACTGCAAGGTAAGCATACTTTATTTAGTGTTAGAAGCAAGGAGTCTGAAGGCTCAGATGGGCTGTGAAACCCCAAGGTCACACAATGGCCGAGCCCAGAATAATCTCTGCTCTATTGATTCCATACATTTCCCACCATACCCTAATGCTTCCTTTATTTCAGGTCATTGAAAGGCAAGACTTATTTTCAGGGGGTAGTGAAGTAACATTTATGGACCACCTTCCACTGTACCAAATACTTTAAATATACTGTTTTTAATCATTGAATTTTTCACAACACCGTGAGATAGATGTGATTGCTATGCTCATATTACAGATGAGGAAACTTTAGAGGTCAAGAATTTAAGGGGCAGAGCTGGGATTCCCATACAGTCATATTATAAAGCCTACACTCTTTCTAAAACCGAAGTTAATGTCTATATACTTCCTGACAGTTCACAAAGCACTTTCAAGCTCTTCATCTCAAAGCTGTCATCCCATTTCATAGATGAGGGTAAAAGTTGGGTAAAAGTTCATTCATGAAGTAAAGACATCTGTCCAAAGTCACAAAGCTAACAGTAAGTAGCAGAGCCTCTAATTTTTAAATAAACTCTACAGAGTTGGTAATAACAAAGCTCATTCTATTTATTCATTCCACAGTGCCAAGTGCCGTTTTAATAATTATAATATTAGCTAACATTTACTGAACACTTAACATGTATTCAATACATGAGTTATGTGACTAACTCCTTTAGTGCTCAGAAAACCTTATGAGGTAAGTAATGTTACCTTTTCCATTTTACAGATGGGGAAATTGAGACTCAGGGAGATGAAGTAACTTCCTAAGGTTACACAGCAATTAAATGGCAATGTGAGGATGCCAGATGAGACAGTGTGGAGTTGCAGTGTGGGAACCAGGCACCTGCATTGTGTCCCAATCCCTGTGTGAAACCATTTTTCCAAGGGCCTCAGTTTCTCTGCCACACTCTTACTTCTTTGACTAACCCCTGTGTGTGGCAGGACCATATAGCTCCTATTGTCATGGAGCTAATGCTCTATAAAACCAGCCAAGAGTACCTCCAGCTTTGCCTCACAGGGGCACTGGGAGGATTGATAAGCTGATGGCACTTGGACTGCTTCAGCAAAGGCACTGGATAAACTTGGGCACTTATGTGTGAAGCTCACTGCCACGGATGCCTCATGCTGTAATAAGATGTCTGCAGCCCAGTCCCTGACCTGTTTGAGGTGTGGAGGGAATAAAAGCCTGTTACAGGCTTCCCTGGGAAACCATTAGGATGAAAGCTAAGTTAAAAGTATCTCTCTGCTGTCCTGGGGAAAGGAGAAGGTGGTGGTGATATCATGGTCATGGGCCTTTCCCTCTCAGAGGCAGGTGTTTTTCCAACATCTCAGAAGGGTTTCTAGCTTACTTGAGGGACATCAGTTATTTACTGAAGTCAGAAACTAACATGATTATTTGGGCTTCAGAGGCAGACAAACCTGGGCTGAATCCTGCTTCTGTCGTTTCGTCTCTCTGAGCCTCCATTCCCTTTTAATATGGGGTAATAATACCTTCCTTATAGGGTCATTTTGAAGCATAAACCTGCTAATATATTTAAAAACACTTTGCTCAGGGCTTAGAATAGAGTAGCTACTTAATAAATGGTAACTATTACTGGAGCCATTATTTTTACCCTTATGTTGTTATCATATTATTTACTGATATTTTAGGGCCAGGCTGAGAGCTAGGTGGAGGGAAGAGTCATTCCTTTTTTTCAAACAATCTACTAGATTGCCTCAAATACATCAGTCTAAGCAGGGGAGAATCTGAAAATAAGCATTTACAATATAATAAGTGCTATGGTATGGGGATTGCATAAGGTGTTTTGAGACTTTAGGGGAAGAATCAATAATGAGGAGATGCAGCAACAGTTTTGCAGAGGAGGTAGGTCTGTTTGGAGTCCCTGCTTTGAAGTGGAAAATGCTGCTTGCTGGAGGCAGGTAGAATGCAAGTGGCAGCTGAGCCTTTGCTCCTCACCCAAGGGCCTTAATTCTGATCTGCAGCCCCTCTTGCTCCTTAAGGCCTCTCAACTCCCACACAGCCCTGCCAGCCAGCCTTGTCCTAGAATAACCCCTCCTGGGCCACCTGCTGGTGGTGAACCTCCTGAGTTCTGTGCTGTGGCTTGATGAGGGTGAGTCATAAGACCTTTCTTTTTACTGCTAAGCTCTACTGGAAGCTTTCTGGTCAGGAGCAATGCCCCAGGTCTACCTTGTGGGGAAGGTCTAAATGATGACTGGCCACTGCTTCTCCCCACAGGGCCTGATGAACATGTGAGTGGTGGCACCTTTCTTTCTAGATAGGTACTACTTCTGGACAGGTGAGACTTCCCAGGGTGGACAGTGATAACAGACCCTCCTGCCACCCCCAACTCTCAGGAGGGGGCCCTTCCCTTTTCCTCCCAGGCCAGCCTCCAGTGCCTCTTTCTGGCTGCCATCTGGCAGTGGCCCAAACCAGCCTCCTAACTTACTGGTGACCACATTTTCCAAACCAAAACTCAGGACACATGATCTGGCAAAGAATTTCTGGCCAGCTTCCAAATGCAAGAGGCAAAACCCTTTCCACTCGAGAATCTCCAGAATAATCCGCGTCATTAAAGGTGACATTAGGTTAGAAACCTTGAAATTCAGGGTCTCCTCTTTCTCATTTTCATACATTATTGATACATAACAGCCTCGTGAGGTGGCTGATTATTATTTCCATTTAATAGTTCATAATACTTAGAGGAAATTACTTGCCCAAGATCCTACATCCTGAATTTCGATCAGGGAGGGTTCTTAGGTCTTTAGGAGTTTTGTGTGTGTCTTGCATGAGGATGGTGCGGAGGGCGCAGAAATACCTTTCGCGAAGATGCACACGCCATTTATTTGGGACTTCCAGGAAGGGCAGCAAAGAACTAAGCTGCCCGGGTTTCCACTCTGAGTTGGAAATCCCCGAGCACAGGACTCGGGAGCCGCCCTGTCCCATCAGGATCTGGCCCCAAGCCTCTGGGAGCAGGAAAAGGTCCTTCGACCTTGCGGGTCACTCAGCGGCCGCAGGTCCTTGCCCCAGCCCAGGTGCGAATGGGCGGGGCGCAGCGTGGGCGAGCGACTCCCGGGCCACGTCCTGCCCCGCCTCCCCGGTCACATGGACGCGCCTTCCGTAGCCCGGAGTGCGCAGCGGAACGAACCACGAGGAGGAGGAGCGGGGGAGGCGCCGAGGGCAGTGGGTCAGCGCCCCGCGGGCCAGGTGGGCGGGCCCAACCGCCCGCGAGCCGGCCGGCCAGCCAGTCAGCGAGCGCGGAGGGCGGGCCGGCGGCCCCGCGCGCCGCGCCCCGCAGCGCCCCCTGAGGGGCGGCGGCGGGAGCTGGTTCCGGCTGCGCGCGCAGCGGTGGTGGCGGCGGTGCGATCGGCTAGGCTGTAACCGTCGTCTGTCCCGGAGCGGCTGGAGCGGCAGCGGCGGCCGGGCACAGCGCGAGGCGACGCCACAGGGCAGCGGCGGCAGAGGCGGCAGCAGGAGACACAGCGGCGGCCGCAGCAGCAGCAGCAAGACGGACTCGTGGACACGCGCCGTCGCCGCCGCCGCCGGGCCGGGCCGGGTGTCGCGCGCCGAGGCTGGGGGGGAGTCGTCGCCGCCGCCGCCACCGCTACCGCCGCCGCCGCCGCCGCCGAGGTGACTGAGGAGAGAGGCGCCCTCCTCGCTCCCGCCGCCGCCGGACTTCAATGCCCAGTCCCCAGCTCGCCAGCGTGAGTGCGCCCCTCCAGGGCGGCCCCCGCGCCGGCGCCCGGGGCCTCCGGGAAGGGGAGGGCGGGAGGCGCCGCAGCCATTAGTGCAGGCCCGAGACACGTCCCCGGAAGGAGGGCCGGGCCGGGCCGGGCCGGGCGCGGGGGAGCGAGGGTGGGTGAGCAAGGGGGAGGTGTGAGTGTGTGGAAGAATGTTGAGTGTGTGCGCCCGTGGGGGGCGACGTGTGCATGCGTGAGGGCGAGCGTGTGAGTTTGTGAAGGGACAGTGTGAGTGGGGGGGAGAGCGAGTGTGGGGGAGACTGTATCCGTGTGGGGGGAGTGAGTGTGCGTGAGAGTGGACTGTGGGGGAGAAGGGGGGCAGCATCGGTGTGGGGCGAGCGTGTGGGAATGAGTGGGTGAGTGGGGAGCATGTGAGTGTGCGGGGAGTGTGAGTAGGTGGGGAGGAGAGTGTCTGGGAGGGAGAGAGTGAGTGAGTGGGGGGATATGAGCATGTGTTGGGGAGAAGGTGCGTGACAGATGAGAGAGTGTGGAAGGATGTGCCCGCGTTTGTCCAGTGTGTCAGCAGGCACCCTGGAGGCCCTTCCCCTTGGTTTTTGTGTATGGCAGTAGTGAACCCTGGTGTAGGGAGTTCTTTCCAGGAGCATCTTGTCCCTGAATCCTCTGGTTCAAGTATGAGGAAAGGGTACAAGTCTCTTCAAGTGGCACTACGATCTTCTGGCTTTGGGATTTTTTTTTTACCCCCAGAAAGGATGTGATGAGGTTTTTTTGTTCCATAAAAATTTCCCCCCACATGTCATGACATCAACGTAAATTTCCAGATTCTTTAAGGATATGGTTGCCATCCCATCTTAGTCTGGGGGTTCTTAGAGTTAACTAAAACAAGCTTGTCTATTCCCAAGATCCTACTCTCTTGCCTGTAGAGTATTCAGATGCATATATATATATATGTATATGTATATGTATATTTGTTGGTAAAGTACTAGTTTTTTAGGTGAAAGTTATTTTATTGTTAGGTAAATTGAAGTAATGTCTTTTAGGTTGTGACTTTTTTATCCTTCTGGAGAAAAGCTCTTAAGTAATAATGATGTAATATATTGATGATGAAGAACCATAGGCTATTTTATTATGTCCTGGAATTTGTCAAGAACCGTGGTATAAAGTGACTAACAGTTCTAGCATCACTGTAGGCATTCAGCAAATGCTTGTCTGTCTGGAGTCACCAAACTACAACCACTGCTGGCTTGTAATATGGTACTTATTTGCTGCCGTGTTCTGTATTACAGAGTAGTTTCAGACAGGAAGCGAGTGAAGTTATGCCATGTTAAGTGTGCAAAAGGAAATTAAGGATACACAATGACACATTATCAGGGCTTCAGAATCACTTACCCCGTGTACCTTTTCGTTGCTGAAGATAGAAGTTATCTGCTGTATTCTGAGCCTAACATTTTCAAGTTTCATATTGAATGGACTAATTATTGTCATGACTTTTCCCATTCTTATGTTATAGAAGTAGGGATTCCTGTTGAAGAATAATACCTTGATAGGGATTTTACACCTTGATGTAATCTTATAATGATGTCTCTTAGAAGCTGGGAGTCTCTCACTGTGATAAGCAAAAAGTAGGGTGGTCCTTTTGATAGTGGACATAGTGGAATTACAGGCAAAGTCATCGATGTGTGATTAGAAGTCAGAAGTTATATTGCATTGTCCTTTTTTTCCAGTTACTAGTATACTCTGCTTTCAGGAATAGTAAGTAGTGTTTTTACTACTAAGCAGGGAAGGGATTAATTAGTATTAAGTGCCTACTATGCTACAGGTGCTAAAAAGCATACTTATTTAATTCTCGCACCTACAATAAAGGTGGTAGGTATCCTCATTTGCATTCATTTGGCACATTTTGAGTTGCTTCTATTTGCCAGGCTGCAGTGATGAACTCCCATGGATTTACAGGGCTGAGATGAAGAGATACAGAGACTCAAAAGGTTAAGTAACTTGTGCCAGGTCACACAGATAGTAAGAGTTGGAGTTTGATTAAAAATCCAGGTCTGTCTGACTCTAAAGTCCTCATTTTTTCCACTATACTTTACTACTCTCACAGTACGTTGTCTCTTTTTGAGGTTTCTTATCCAGGAGGTGATCTAGCAGCTTGTACAGATGAGAGTAGTTGAGGTTACAGCAGAAGACTGAATAGCTGGAGGCAAGGGGATCTTTTAAGAGATGCTGACTTGGGGCTCTTAGGGACCCAAGCTAGGCTTTTATGTGGGAGGAGATTCTGCCTTGAAACTCTCTTGGGGCCCCAGGGTGTGTGCTTTGAGACAGTTTTTATGAGGCACCTGGAATATGTCTGGGAGTGGGAAGTCTGATTAAAGAAATGCAACAGCCTTTTATGTTGTGTTTTTCTTTTTTGGGAAAAGGATAGAGTGTATTTATTGGGGCTAAGAGTTAGTGTCACTTTGGAAGTTTCTCTATTGAGCTGTGTGGGATACTTAAATCAGGAGATTATGAAGATCAAGTGAGAAAATACATGTGAAAGCACTTTGTTAATTATAAATTGAATTACAGATTCAAAGTATTACCACCAAGACTTTTCTACTAAGGCAACAGTTTGTTATATTTAGTAGTTGGAAAAGGCTGGCATTTTAGAACACCTTTACAAATGAAAAATAGTTTAGAACTGTGAACGGAGTATTTTCTGACTCAGAACAGCAAAAGTCAGACCACTCCCTCCATGAGTCAGTCAAGTAATATTTAATTTGAACAAACCAAATTTATAGGCAGAAACCATTTATCAACATTCATTGAACTTTGGTGGCACTAGGGAAAAGTAAATGTTTGAATGCTTTTTGCATATAATTTTAAGTCTGAAAGTACCGTGTATAGTTTACAAAAAAATTGCAAATGAAGTAAATTAGATTTCATTTCATTTCTTTTTTTTTCCATTGGGGATCAAATTTCAAAGATTTATTTTCTTAAGAATTAACTTTTTATTCATCTTGTCCTATAAATGTGGCATTTCCTTATGCAGTAATTACAGAACACTTTACAATTTTTATTTTATTTTATTATTATTTTTTTATGTCAAATTCTGTGGGTACAAATATTGTTAGGGTTACATATATCGCCCCTGCCCTCCCTCCCCACCCCAATATGCCAGAGCTTCAAGCCAGAACACTTTACAATTTTGAGATGCAAAGTTGAAATTTAGTAGGGATAGTTTACGGGGTTTGACTGTACTTGTTCATTTTTGTAGTAATTCAGGATTGGTAACCAGTGAAGCTTCTAGAGAAAGTATTTACAAATAAGATGCAGAGGAACAGTACATAAATTATTAGCTGTTGCTCTTGAAGAGTAAAACTTACATTTGATTGAAAACTAATGTTGACTTCTTCAGGTGCTATTCCATCAGCTATACTACTTATTGGATAGAAGTTGGGGATCTTTAGAAATTTTTGAGTAACTGGAAATCAGGATCCATAGTTTTATTTGACACTTAGTTATTTTTACTGTGTAGAGTAGTGGTAGAGATCTTGTGGTTTTGGGATACTTGTAGAGTCTAACATTACACTTTAGGACTTTAGGTTTCAAGATTGCCTTGAAAATCTTGTGCCAAATGACAAATCATCTTATTCAAAACTCAATCCTGTAAGTGGTATTCTTTCAACTTTATAGGTAAGGCCATTGATTTATAGATCAATTATTAAATCCCAGGTTTTGGAACAAGTTAAAGAGTGTTAGTAAATAGATAGCAGTAGATAAAATTTATTTTTCCTCTTGGTGCTTAAATTACTTAAATGTCTATCGAACAGTGGATGCTACCAGTAATAATTATTTCGGGCAATGACGATTTGAGTCTGTTGATGTGTGGAATATTAGAAAAATCTTTTCTCCATTTTCACCTTCAGTACTATTTGTATGTATAAAGGTGTCTGGTAGTTTTCTCCGGTTATCCTTTGTTTCATTGACCCAACCACATTCTCCAGCTCCCTTGACTTACTGGCTATTGTCTTGAGACTTGAAGCCTTATAGGATTGCTTGATATAGCTGAAGTGGATATTGTACGAAAATCTTTTGCTCCTTGGAGTGATGGAGGTCTAGGCTGAATCAGAATATGTCACTACCCTAGTACCTCCATGAAAGAAGCTACATAATACTGTAGGTTCTGTCCACTATCCATAGTTCCCCATTGTGGAGTTACCAGGACTCAGGTAAGAAAATGACCACTCCCCCACACTCATAAGGTGATTGTCCCTGCACTGTTTGTTCAGTCAGAGTAGATTTACAGGACACAAACATCTTTCTCAGAAGAAAGATTGAGGAGTTGACAGATTATACCAGTATTTTTTATGTGACTTAAGTACAAATGTCTTTTGTTTGTCTACACTGATTTTCTTGCCCATAGGTTATGTTAACATGACATCCACTCCAGTTTAAGTGGCCTAGAAACTAAATTTCACCATTTGAATATAAATTTACATTGCACAATGTTGGCTTTTTAAACTGTGGAGAATTTTAAGATTGGCTTTGT